ACCTTATGCACCTCAGCAGGTGGATAATCTCCAACAGCGGTTAAAAGAGCGCCTAAGCATGGAGGAGCCCAGGTAATTAAAAAGAAACAAACCACTGTGAAACAGCTCTTCAAAACTTTAATGTCGGTATGATGAAGCCTGGGAGTACCAACCTTATTTTGTGTGACATTGGTGTTAACGTTATCAGCACTTTTTTTTCACTTGCCTGTAAATTTCCCAATAGCAATAAAATATCGCAGATGTTAACATGACCCAGGTCCCTCCAGTAGTTGCTAGGACATAAGATAAGTCAAAGCTGCAAAGAAGGGAACTCGAGTCGAACTACAGCTTTCTCAATCCGTACAACGGAGGCGTGGCGATTATGAGAGAACACAGCCAGACGAGACCACAGTACAACCAAGCAACTCTTTTGCTGGGGAAGAACTTGATATACAAGGCTCGCTGGACGACTTTTATGTATCTGTTCATGGCAATTAAGGCAATATTTAACATAGAGGCCACACCCATAGTAAGTCGTGATGTTGCGGTGACATGACACCATTCCTGGGTCAAATTTCAAGTTACCGTGTAAAGGGTCACCGTAAAGATTTCAGTCAGTGAAAGATTGTGAATAAACATTTTGGTGGTGGTTAGCCTCTCATAGTATTTATTCATAACGTAAACTACCAGCACATTACTAAGTATGGCGGTGAGGCAAATCAGGTTCGCAATTGCTACCTCCATAACAATTTCTGCCCTCGAGCGGCCAAGAGGATCTGGGAAAGTTGCTTGGGACATCCTAGTCTGTAACAAATGAAGAATGTATCCATAGGACAATTTGAATTGCGAAAGATGCTATAGATAAGGTTAATCCGTTTGAAACAATGATGAAATGTATTATGCAAGGACTTCGTTAAAGAATGAAGATATCCAACCCATCAAACTTCTTCCTCTTAAAAAAAAAAGAGGAAATAAACTTATATAAAATCAAATTTCTAAGAGTCTGTTATAATTTCAAAGAATAACTAATTTTCTTTTTTAACCCGTGGAGGCAGAAATATCAAGGTGTCTATCAAGTTCCGGTCGAAACCTGGTCAAGACTTTTTCCAAATTGTGTTTTTCTTGCGTCGACTGACTTTCGGAACACTATAATGCAAGAAAGCCAATATGCTTGAATTATTTCATCCTTTCTTTCAAGCTGATTCAATACTTATTTCCTGATGAACAATAAGTTCAGTAATTGCAAGAAAATTACAAAGAATTAACCTATTTAAAGAGTTACCCTAACTCTACATATATTGTTCTATGATCGTGGGTAAACGGTCTTATTCGTTTTCTCGACCAAATGAATGATTCTGAAACAAAAACTGCGGAATCGTTCAACCTTTGTCGGTACTTTAATTGCCTGTTTAATATGAGAAAGCTTTCAAGACTTTATACTACAAAAACTCAATATTCTAGGTAACCGCTGGCAAATAAATCTCGTAATTCATTTCCTTAAGGGACAGGGGTAGTTTTCTATTCTCTGGTGAGGTCATCATCTTTTACAGTGGAAATGAAAGATATCTTTGTCGTATTTCGATACCTTTGATTGGAGCGGTACGAAAAGTTGAAAACCTATAATGAGTCAAGAGAGCTTGAGGATGAGTGTCCTAAAACCAGCACAAAAGGAAATACCATGGTCGCTTTTCGAAGCAAATGACGAGGTTTATTACCACCGGTCATCTATAATATTGGATTTTCCGTTAAAACTCTAAAAAGCTTTCTCACATTAAGTAGGCAATTAAAGTGATGGCAGAAGAGAAATAATTACTCAAGTTATTGTTGCATAGAGATACATTTGATTGGGACAATGAAGGAGACTGCCTAATTATGATCATAGCATTGTGAAAAAGGTTTCTTTTTCCGTTTGCTTTTCTGGAAACTACTAAACTCACTGTTCAGACCAGGAAATAATTATGAAATCATTATGAGAGAAACAATTAAACAAGTTAAGGATAATGACTTTCTTGTGTTCTTGTGCTACGTTATGAATTATCATACTTGAGCGACTCTTACACGAATATCTTATCAGTCATTCCTTTTTCCCTGCGAAAGGTTCAAGATTGTGGCATGGGTGGCCGGTAAGGACAATAATCTTGATTCTCCAGCCTCACTGAGTTACTACAAACGTGAGTATTTGAGAATATGTGTACTATATATGATTTAGCGAGAGACTACGGAGAAAGCTATTAAAATAATCCGAGAGAAGCGATTTCACGTCGCCAGCTTAAAATGTTATTTTCTATTTCATGAGACTGAGAATGGTTCAATACTCAACTGCACACAAATGGTGTTTTAAACACACTTCATCACTTCATCTAGGAATTAAAATTCATCTGGACTAAATACGGACAATTTTTAGCGCTATCAAGTTGCTATTAGACAGAAATCGGTAAGATCACACCGCTTTTTTATGTCCACAAGAGACACAAGAAAGAATTTTGAGGGAACATTTTCATTTCTTTTTGACACCTCATACAGTTTGTTTGCGCATTTTTAAATATGTTTTATTATATAATTTATTAACCTGTTATGGAAGTCTTTATGTAATTATTCCTTTAAAAATTAAAGTTTCAGTGATCGTGGGCGGACGAGTGCTTTACAGATGAACTACACGCGGTTTTAATCACAGAAAACCTGTTAGAAATTCGAAACGACTGCAGAACTGATGATTGCAGCAACAAATTTAACGGTAGTTGGAACGCAGACGAAAACTTTTCAAGAACTGGCATGTTCCCCTCTCTTGGTTGGTGAATTACAAAAACAATCTTTTTGTTTCGCAGTTGTCAATATTCTCCTCTCCATAACTGCATTTTTTGGAAATTTTCTTATCCTTGTTGCCCTTCACAAGGAATCTTCACTTCATCCGCCGTCCAAATTTTTGTATCGTTGTCTTGCAACAACTGACCTTTTGGTTGGACTTCTTAGCCAGCCTCTTTCTGCTATTTACTATATGACGTTAGTTTGCGAAGACTGGAGTCTTTGTCGATACGCATGGGACACTGGGTACGTAACAGGCTATATATTATGTGGAGCGTCTTTGTTGACGATTATGGCCATAAGCGTGGACAGACTTCTCGCCTTGTTATTGGGGCTAAGATACAAACAAATTGTAACTTTAAGGCGCACATATGTCATTGTAGCTACTTTTTGGGTTATACCTGGTGTTGCTGCTTTTTGCTATTTTCTGGATCCCCAGATTTCATTTTGGTGTAGCGTTATAGTTCTGCCGCCCTGCTTATTAATTTCAGTCGCCTCGTACGTTAAGATTTTCCGCGTTCTTCGTCGACATCACGCTCAGGTTGGAGATCATCTTCAACAAAAAACGAGGCAACCAAACGTACTGAACTTGGTGCGATTTAAAAAGGGAGTGTACAGTGCACTGTGGGTTCAGTTAGCCTTGGTTGTTTGTTTCCTACCATATAGTGTAATACAAATTAATATAGTTTACAGCAAAACACATTCATCCCATTCTTACGTTACTTTTGGAATAGTTTCGTCTTTAGTGTTCTTTAACTCATCTCTAAACCCATTTCTTTACTGCTGGAAGATTAGAGAAGTAAGAGAAGCAGTAAAGCAGACAGTCAGACAAGCATTTTTCTGTCCATGGGGTTAAATTGTTCTCGAGGTAAAATCATATTTGTACATATAAAGCTGACCCGTTAAGACTCGTTTGTTATTAATAAATGCTCGCCAGGTATCGTTTTGAATAGGAAGAAACGGGAAGCTCGTTATATAAACCAAGCTGTTGCGATGGATCGTATATTCCTGATATCAGATCTTCGCCAACAAAACAGCAGATTAAGAAAATCGAACGACAGTCACAATCAAATTTCTTTTCTTTTTTTTTTTAAATTTAATTTTTAATGTAAATGGTCGTTTTAAATCCAGTAATTCAGTATGCCGCTAGTGTATACGTATTGTATATCAAAAGTTTATATATATTGTATAATTGTCGAAAGTGGTTTTGAAGTTCTGTCTTTCACTTTCACTTCTAGTCATCTTACAAAGCCTTGTTCGTATGTATATGAAACCGTTTTCAAAAACGTTGCCGTTTAGTGATAAATATAAAATATACACGCTTGTCCTTTTTCTATTTAAACGTTGCTAACAACTTGATGAGGTCCTTAAAGCAGAGAGATACGAAGAAATGAGATGGTGCTTAAAGTGCTTTAAGAAGTGTAAATTATACGGAGGCCAAAGACATTATGGACATCACTGAGGCGGAAATATCACTCCGTTCTTGCAGGAGCAGGTTATCAATCACAAAAAAGATTCGAATTTGAAAACATATTATTGACGATAATATATTTTAAGCAAGACAAATAATAGCTGAAATCGAACCTCGATTGAAAAAACGATGAAAAGGCGTATAAAATCTTGGCCATCTTAAAGAGTTTAAAACTGAAGCTGAAGTTTCGAGCGTTAGCCCTTCGTCTATCGCTCTCACGAAGAGCTAACGCTCGAAACGTCAGCTTTGAAACTCTTACGGTAGCCATTTCACGTTATCAACTCAGTTGATAATACTAAATCACCCTTTTATACTCACCCAACGACGCAGAATCACAGTTTCTTTAGAAACTTACCCCCCTTATCAAGCAATCTCTACGAAATTAAACTTAGAAATAGAGAATAATACATGGGCGCGCGTAGATATGGAATTTCTCCTCGAGTGTTTAACTCGATAGCTCACGAGTGAGATGTTGAGTTGAACGCGAGAAGACGAATTCCATATCTGCAAGCAACCATGTATTATTTTGTTTGTCATATAAAAACAATAGCCCTCAACTGAGAAGAAAAGCTGACTACATTAATGAATGAAAATAAATGAATCGACAATCCCCGAGTAACAATCGTAGAGTGCGTTGGCGCTAACTCTAAAGATGGAAAAATGCGTCGAATCACGATTACAAAAAAACAATGGTCGTAATTTTCAATTAACAAAATTCTCATTTATTGACTTTGTCCTTACTGACAGAAGAAGTCTTTCAGGTAAACGGCCAAAATCGACTAGTGGCAAATCTTCCAGTTGTCGATTTTCATTTGTGTTTTAGTCGCCACAATTCGAGAAAGCTCCGACAAACAACTTGTATTGAGAATCGTGAAGGCTTTGGCGTTTATTCATCAACCTGACCTAGTGACGCTAAAGGCGAGTGACGTGTCAGCAGGTGATTGGCTATATCAACACACTTGAAAAAATACGATATTTTTTCACGTGTGTAGTTACGACTTTTCTAAGAGCCGGAAATCCCTGTATAACACCGCAGTTTACGTGATAAATATGTTTATTGAATATATAGTTTAGGAGAAGCTTTGGACAAAAAACTAACATCACCATCATGCAATCATGACTTTCTTAATAGTGCACTGAAAGAAGCGACGGCAATGGCCTGGAAGCTTTGCTGAGTTTTTGTTTATTCCCAAGAAAAAAAAAGAATATTGTCAATTTTATTTTTCTCCTTTTCCTAGATAGTTACAAGGTTAATGCTTGCACATTGCAAGCCCATGTTTCCAATATCCATCTTCTGAAATAAAAAGGTTTTAAAAGGAGGAAAACGATCAAATGATTCACCAGCAGCAAGAATTTTTTATCTTATTGCATTTTACATCTAAATTCAATTTGATGTTTTGTTTTGTTTTTCATGCATGTTTACTGCAACTTGAATAACATTCAAAGATGTCTCTAACAATTTCACAGGATTCTCTTTGTCGCTTAAACGCAGAAACTTCTTTGGAGGTAACCCTCGTCATTCTGATTCGCTTGACTTCCGCACTTGGTAACGTCCTGATTGCTTTTGTTATAAATAAATAAGAAGAGGGGCTACATATCTACATATTTTCAAATACTGAATGCATCAATGTACCGAATCATTTTCCTTTTCGCTGTCATGCTAGTTTTGAATACAACCAAAAAAATTTAAAAATGGATCAGATAGTCATTAGCAATTGAATTTCCTGAGGTACTGTTTACTTGAAAATCATTGATACAGACTGTATGGATTGGCACTTGGAATGAACAGTCTTTAAAGGAAATCAAAAGAATCCATACGGAGCAGCTTAATCTTACAAAGCCATGGCCATTTCGTGACTTTACTTTAAAAAGCTTCTCTCTAGACAATTGACGTCTCAAAGTCTTTCCTGGCTAAAAACGTGTGAGCCATGAAAGGGAGATGGGGTCGAAAATACGAGACAAATGCGGGTTTCCTAACGTCTGAGGCCTTGAAATGAGTCTTGCTTACTATGTGTCGTGGACGTTTTGCGAATTGCACCTCGTTGCGTTTAAACACTTCAGAGAACAAATAATCGCCCCTGCCCTCTTGAGCACAAAGTAAGAAAAATAATGAAGAGAAAAAAAAATGGATAAAAGTTCAAACAAAGATTGACTTTTGATTGATTACTAGAACGCTTAAGATAAGTCCATCTTGTTAATTCCTATTTCTCGCTTTTATTGCATCCGATGGAGGAAAACATATCTTCATGAAAAGTCATGGCCAGCTTACTGACACCCGTACTTATGCAGAAACCCACGATTTAGAAGGAACATGTTTTCCGAATTTATTTGCAAGGAAAAACGCTAACATGTCTTCTAGACAGTCTAACAAAAGTAAAACACGATGATGTCTCATTTAAATCCTGAGTGCAATATTTCTCTCACTGGAAACTTTTTATTAATCAAATTGTTGGTGGAAGATGGGCGAATACTGGCTTCATTCTGTTTCACGTGTTTGAGGTCGGACGCAAGAGTAGCCTCGGTCCATAAAACGTAACAACCGGACGAAATTGAGTTTTATTCGGCGACATGCACTTTACGCAGGATAATTGACAATTTGCAGTAATGGCTACGTAAACTTAAAATGTATCATAAACAGGTAATTTTGAACTGCAGAATAAAAGAGAAATGACTCAGCACATTATTCTTAGCTGATTTGAAGTGATTTATTGGAATCTGATCACTATAGGTAATAGTCTAACAGTAAAAAAAAAAAAATGATAATAACTTGAGGAAGCTTGGCTGACTGCAAAAATTGAAATAAGTTTTTCAGTTGTTTGCAACTGTTTCAAAAAGCATTTTTGTTTACGGTGGAAACAAAAGATATCTTTGTCATATATTGATAACTTTGAAGTGTGCAATACGCAAAGCTGGAAACCTATAATGAGCCTAGAGAGCTTGAGGATGAGTATCCTAAAATCAAAACCCTAGAAACAGAATACCCTGGTCGCTTTTAAAAACAAATAAACAAATGACGAGGCTTATTACCACCGGTCATCTGTAATATTGAATTTTGCGTAGAAACTCTAAAAAGTTTTCTCAAATTTAGCAGACAATTAAATTGATGACAGAACAGAAATAATTACTCTTATTGTTTCAAATAGATATATTTGATTTAGGCAACTAAGGTGACTACCTAACTATGATCATAGCACAATTTTTAATTTATTGAGAAAAAAGTTTTCTTTTCCGTTTGCTTTTCTCGAATCTACTTAACTCACTGTTCACACCAGGAAATAATTAGGAAATCATTATGAGAGACACAATTTTAAAAACAACACAAGAAAAATGACTTTCTTGCGTTCTTGTGTTCTGCTATCATACTTGTCCGATTCTTATACGAAAATCTTATCAATCATTCCTTTATCCCTGCGATAGATTCAAGATTGTGGCGTTAGTGGAGGTAAGGACAGCAGAAGCTGAAGAAAGTCATTGACATGTTTCAACCTGAGGTTGACAGATATCTTGGTTCTTCAGCCTCACGGAGATACAAAAAACGTGAGTATTTTGTAAAATATGAGCTGAATCTAAGAAATGAGATTCTAGAATATCTTTATCACATTCTTTAGCGGGAGAATGCGGAGAATATCCATTAAAATAATCAGAGAGAAGCGAGGGCACTCCCTTGGAAACTCTTTCTGCCTTGGAGGGATCTCGGGCGTTTCTTTTTTTCTTTTTTTTTGTTTTAAGAGAGAGAAGTTTGGTGGGATGGTTTGAATTTTATCATCTTAAGACCATTGTTTTCTTTGTCTTAAGATAATTTTTACTTCTTGATTTATTGTCGGTTATCTTCCTTTGACTGGCCTGACATTACAAACCCAATTCAGTCCTCAAGAAAGAAAACCGGATTTTGAAACTGCTACAGCAACAAAGAATCCCATAAACATTTCTAAAAGAAGTTATCCCCTTCAGCAAGTGTCCTAAACTGAAACTAATTGGTCATGGAAATCAGAAAATAAAAGGCTAAAGTTTTAAAAGTGCCAAATGGAGAGCTGACTAAGTGACTGGCTCTTGCAAAAAGCTTGCTACCGTGAAACAATAAGTAATATATGTTTACATTTTGTTTCCTGATTTATTATGTAATACATATTGGAGCTCTTTCAATGTATCTGGCACAGTTTGTATTATGTATGTTTTGTTCTGTTCCTTTGATTCATCAGACAGAAAAAGCAAATCATGGAGGGAAGTCGAAACAGCCACAGATGAACATTCTGCTGAAGAAATTGAAAGTGACGAGCAAGGAAATGTAAGTAGATATGTGTGTAATATTTGCACATGTGTAACTTGCTAATGGTTGTAATAAAATTTCTTTTCTTTTGCCAGCTTGGTCTTCCACTTCTAAAGCAGAAGCAGACAAAATAAGGTAATGATTCTTTTTTGTTGTAAGCGAAATTTAGTCCAAAGTTGGTCAGTTAATTAATAATCCCCAAATTAAGAATTAGGAAGGCATTGAAAATGTTGTTGAGCTAAAAACAGCAACTTCTAATGCATGGTTCAGCTCAGCTGATTACAGTTTCTCATAGTGATTACAGGCACAGGGTAAGGATACA